ATAGGAACTGCTACCAACACAAACAGGACTTGGAAATGCTCAGCACCCCTGAAAGCCAGAACCTGTATCTCTCCGATTAGACACTCAGAATTGGTGCCCTGAAGGTTTGAGCCTGTATGCCCATTTGATTTCAATTACTTTGTGCAACTTTTAGGTACAGAGACGTGCAGTATACAGATATGCTGAAGAGATAAGTGAGCATTTGGAAAGCCTTTCTGGTTCTTCTTTGAAAGAATGCAAATTACATCAGTTACTATGCCAGAGCGCCACACTCATCAACAGGTCTCATGGCCATTACTTTGAAGTCCACGGGGAAAACTTTAAACTAGCATGAACAGCAATTTATACTATTGAGACTCTTGCCTATGTATCTTCTTCTGCACTCAGCCACATTTATCTGGGAGTAAAGAGACGACAGCCACACAAGCTCCACAGAACAGCTCAAACTCAAGTCGGCAGTGATGCTTCTACTACACTGACAAAAGGGGAAAAAAAAAATTTTGCCATTGTTCTGGTCAGAAGAAAAGTAACGACAGGATAGTAGTAAGACCTGGAAATTACAGGAAATGTCTTAGAACTATGAGAAACATCTCTTTAGGATAATAAAAAAAAAAATCCTAACGAAGAATGGCAGGGACATGGTAAGAATTTCTGTATATAAGACTCCAGGTTCCAGTGAGGACAGCAACACCAAAACACAACAGCTAAACTACCCATCAAGCCACAGCCTCCCTCAGAAGTCCCAACCAACCTCCTCTTTGCAGCACCAAGTCCGTGCTGACAGAAAGCCATTAAGTTTTACATAGCCTATAAGGCATGACTTAATTACATAAAGCATTCCAAGAAACTCTGGTAAACCCAAGTTTTTTCAAAGTGGTATGTGACTGGCAAGTGCTGTCTAGTCTCTTATTTTATTCTCTGGTATGTAGATAGTCCTCACGAGTATTAAACTGCTCTGATCAAACATTCTTTTTCAAGGCTCATTTTCTTGTGTCTGTGCAGTTACTTTTTATGGATCATATTTCAGCCTCTAAAATCACAGTGGAGAAACTGGCCAGGAATTAGCCAAGAAGAGAGACTTGTTCAGTGTAGGTTGTTGGCCTTAGGGCAGAATTTGTCACCTTGAAAATACTGAAGTGAATGCAGCCCAACTTAGTAGTGAACAGTTGTTTGCTGGCAGACAACATTAATGTCTCTTAAGCTACTTTCCATGTGATCAGTTCACCAATTAAAACACCAGCACATCAACTCCTTTCATCTAATTCATTATTTATAAGTCATTCATCCAACCTCCTTAAGCACTTAGTGTATATCCAATCTTCACAACACCTGTTCATCAGAGACAAACATCATCGTACTAGGCAGGCAACAACAGACTAGTTACCAATGGGTTATGTGACTCTCCCTTCTCAAGAAGTCACAGGATGTCTACGGCAAAGACTTGAACTGACTTAAGGTCATTTCCATGCTGGTCCACTTTAATATTCACTATTTGATACCCTTGCTCAATACTCTGATCAAAAGTTAAAGTCCTGAAAGAGCACGCACATATTCCTATCTCAAGGCAGAGCTGACAGGACTCTGTGGGAAACTGTATTCATTGGAGATTTGTATTTCTTTACGAAGCAAGACATTTAAATAATGCCCCTCACTAGAATTAATATGCAAGGTCATTAACTGGGATTTGGATTCATAAGTCCAATTAACATCAAAGGAAGCTGAACAGCAAAAGTATCATTTAGCTCCCTGTAGATACACCCAACAGATCTCTGTCAAACTAATTGAAGAATAACGTTCCAGGATGAATGTCCAGTCTACTGCACTCCCTTGGGGCAAAAGTACCCCAGGTGCTCCCAAACATAGCAGACGTGCTATCTAAACTGCTACCAGACAAGTGCTGGAAACAGCTCCCATACAAGTGCTACAGCTGAATCCCCTAACTAATTGCACAGACTTCAGGGAACTATAATGTGGCCTGCCCAGCGTTCAGTAACAGAGGCCCAACACAAGAGAGGAAGCTATGGATAGGTCAGGAACAAGCCAGAACATGGAAGTTAATCTACCCCAACAGTATCATGGAGATAAGTATGTAGCTGATATAATACATGTAAAAACCCCCTTGAACTCAACTAGTCATAATCTTAAGGAAATGCAAAGAGATATCTTGTCCTCCCCACTCTCACACTAGGACCACCATTTTAAAAGAAAACATTATGAAGATCCTCTACTCATCTAGAACTGTGGTGTCAAAAGCAGCAAATGGCCTTTTATTTTATAAGTCAAAAAAAAGGGAGTATACAGTTTACACGTTCTCATTCTCATGAGCAGACTTCATTCTTCAGTTCCAGAAGGAAAAGAACTTAAGTAAGGGCATGGACAACCTGTTAAATGGCAGTAACACTAGCACAACTGACTAGTGGAAGCCAGATGCTGCTCTGTGGAGAAACAGAAACAATACTGATTGGGGTACTTACTAGATCTGCTATTTCTGAAACCAAGCCACCATCTATCTCAACTGGATGTGGCAGCTCACGAATCTCTGTCCCCCATTCTTATGCAGTATAGTTGTGCTCTACATCATGAGCTTCCCCAAAAATACTGTAGAGAAGTGCTGATGTCCCTTGCTTGTATCCAGTATATTCTAAGGACACATCAAATTTTCCTACTAAACAAACTGGAACGTCCTCCCTGCACATGCAGTACTCAAAATACTCACTCAGCTGCTGTTTTTTTAAGAGACCTCACAAATACTATTTTTCTCCTGAACTATTTGCCACACTGCCTTTAACACTTTCAGTATGTTGCCACTATGGATCTCAGATCTGAGTTCTGGACTAGGGTTACTTGGTGGAAAGATTATATGTATCTTCACTCTAACTCTAGTATGATGGAATATTCCAGAACATATCACCAGGCTCTGCTACTACACTCAAAAATATTATAGCAGAAAAGGTGAACAGCAGATTCAAAGTGGATGAGCAGCCAGGGACTGATCTGTGGTACAGCAGGTGATACAATCTGCGCCTGATAAAGATGAAAACAGGAAAGGGGCATGGTCGGGATGTCTCCATTCTGCACCTATCTTGGCTGTATTTCTGGTCATTGCCTTGCTCTATTTTCAAGTCTATTCTTTTACAGTGTCAGGAACAAAGCCATCACAATGCTGTTCTTTAACAAGTTATAAGCAAAGATGAACTTTTATCTAATTTGCACATCATGCTGGCGATCTCCAGCCCAAGATGTGGCCCAATGTACTGATCTGGAGTCTGGCAGTAGCTTGTTAGCAGAGAATGAAGAGTAAGCTCAGAGTACAGTAATATTTACTGCATTGTTACTGACAAGTCTAACGTTAAGAGCTTACTTCATCATAGCTACACCTGTGAAGGTATTAGCTTTATTTAAAAAGATTAGGATTTACAGAGGGAAAAAAAACCTAAACAAATGCAACATTAAGAACATTGGAGGAAGAAGAGAAAAAGGCAGGCATATCTGTAAAAAGGCAGTAGGCAAGTGAAAAAGGAAGAAATGTAGTAACAGCTAACTAATTCACAGGGAATGAGAATAGTACTTGAAAACAGAGAGACCATTCACTGCATTAAAGATGAAGGGTGATAAATGGGAAGATAAAAGAGCCAAGTTTTCTCCAACCACAGTGCCAAGTAAACATAATCTAATTCTAACGGAGCTACTGGGAATTACTTATCCAGCTGTTCTCAGCTGCCCAACCTGTGTTGGAAATGCATGTGTCTGGCACTGGTCACGTCAGACCTGTGCTACATCCATTCCCCATTGACGTGAGGCCCCTTGTGGACTGCAGCTGACAGGGTTTTAGAGCAGCAAAAGAACTGCTCTTATTTCTTCCCTGTTTGGTGACTGCTCTGGAATAACTAGCTCTTCAATCCCTAATTTTCCTTGCACAAAGCTGCACTGAGCATATCTGAAAAGAGCAGTGGGGAGTAATGAGGTGATAAAAATACTCCCAGGAGAGTAATATGGAGGTAAAAAAGCATCACCTCTGTCAGTAGCTAATAGCGGGTATCTAGGAGGACTACAGCACAGGCCAAATTTATAGCAGCACCGCTACAAACAAACTCAATCATGTCTGACTAAAGTAGTTCTGAATCAGAAGGGGTACCTTTGTGTCTGACAGGCTTCAAAACAATTTCTTCCATGGTTTGTTGAGGTGCTTTCTGAACCCATGCAAACTTTTAGCATCCATTGCATTCTCTAATAAGGCAAGCCTAAGCATTTTACATCTCAGCTACAAGCTGTGTGAAACAGTGTCCTCCTGTTCTGAACAGTGCACTTGTTAGTTTCTTTTGATGCTTCCTAATGGTTCTGTCAGAAGGGACAGTGAATAATTTTGCCTATTTACTTTCTCCATAGCAAATCAGATTTCCAACATGAGATCTTAAATAGCTCTACAAATGAGGGCAGTGCCAGCTCCCCCATTTTATAGATGTACAAATGGAGACAGGAAGAAGAGAGAAGGCTTACTTGAGATAATCTAGCAGGCTAAAGGAAATAGGCATAGAAACTATATTATTTTAGTTCCTACCCAGTGTCCTAGCTATATGATGATATAACCTTTCAGTTTCTAGAATATTTATTTTCAGTAAACAAAAACTGATCTAGATTTAAAAGAAAACAAACACACTGAGAAGACTGATAAGCATCATCACTTATATTGAAGGCTGTAATTTAGAAGAAAAACTCTTTAGACCATAAGACAGCCCTCCTTTCTAACCAAGTCTCACCATTATACATACACATGCCCATTTTAACACCTTTCCTTGCATTTCACTCATGGCTAGAGGCCAACGGCTCATCAGCAAATTATCCACTACTACCAGCCTAGATATCTGCATCTACAAACTAAAAAAAAAATAAATCACACAGATTCAACCCCCTCCTCTGTCTACTTCACTTTGAATTCAAATTTTTACTTCCATTTTACAAATACTCACAGCTCCACAAGATTCAACATTAAATGTTCTTACCTTAGCTGATATGGAGGTATCTTGATAGCAGCATCAGGAGAATCCAAGGTTTCTGTATAACCAAAAGAAACAATAGGGCTTTTAAAAGAAACTTTTGAGTTCAACCATAGTAATACATCTGGCTACAGCCTCTGAACCAACGATCCTAAAGTTTACACCTAGTCCAGCTGACAGAACAACAATCACTGCTGCTCCAAGTCACCACAGCTTTGCATCAATTTGTCAGGACACTGGGTGCCCAATGAGAAGGCATCGAGTACCCTCTTTTCCTCAGTGAGCTCCCTCTCACATATCAGCACTTCAGCAGCACATATACTAAAACTGGAACAGTATAGAGGATATTAGCATGGCTGCTATGCAAGGCTAACACACAATTAACAAAGTAACCCATGGAACATCAAGCTGAAAGGCCAGTAATAAGATAGCAACAGGTATGAACCACTACATATTGTGGTAGCTATGTATGGATGAAAAATAAAAATTTAGAGCAATTATAAGTATCACAGTTATGCTGATGTAAGTTAAGGGTCTTGCTGACTAGTGTTCCAGGTAGTTAGCGTCAAAAGCACTTCAAGTCACAGCCAGTCTCTGAAAATGGGTGGATGCTGAAATGTACCTAAGCTCATATTCCCTTAAAAGAAGAACTCATTCTATTGAACATTATTTCCATTATACAGCAAGGATAAAAGAGCTCATGGAATCCAGCAAAAAAAAAAAAAAAAATCCAGCTTTTAAAATAGATCCCGAACGTAAGCCAGCAGTGAAAACTGTACCGGAGGGTTTTTTTACGATGATTTAGGAAAGGGTGGGGGGTGGAAAGGGTGGGAGCTTTTAGAGAAAAGACACACACCCCCCTACCCCTCCACATACACAGAAACCGACAGCTACCGATACCCGTATCTAGCTCGCAAGACCCACGAAGCAGAGGCAGGTGGCGGGGAGGGGGGGGACGACGAGGGACACGGATGCTGTCCGGGACCGCCAGCAGGTGCCACAGCCCCTTCCAGCAGCGCGGAGCTCCCGGGCATTTTGAACCGCCCGAGGCGCTCCGGTCCCTGCGCACCCGCCGGAGGCTCGGCGGCCAGCGCCGAACAAGTTTGTTGGGGCCTCCCTGCCCCCGCCGTTACAAAACCTCTCCATCGGAGGCTCCTACAGCCAGGGCCGCGCCGTGCCCCGCTCCGCTCCGCTCCCCCGCGGGTAGCCCCGCCGCGGCGGGGTCAGCCTGGCGCCGCTGCCCGCGCCCCCCGCCCCTTACCGATAGCCCAGGTGCAGCTCTCCTTGATGGCCCTGTGCTTGCTCCCCGACGCCTCCTTCTGCAGCTTTCGCAGGATTTCTTCCATCTTGCCTCCCCCGGGATCCTCGCGTAGCCGCGGGGGCAGAGAAGCAGGCGGCGAGGAGGAGGAGGAGGAGGAAGAGGAGGGCGGTGCGGGCGGCAGAGCGGTGCCGGGGCTGCCCCCGCCGCGGCCGTGCCTACGCGGGGACGGTGCGCGGCGCCCCGCTGCCGCCCCGCCGCCGCTGATGAATCACGCCGAGCTCCATGGCGGGGACACGTCAGTTGTTGCCGCTGCGGAGTCCCTCCTCCTCCTCCTCCTCCTCCTCTCCCACCCCGGGCAGGCCCCGGTGGCGCAGCCGGGCAGGGGCCGGGCTTGGCCCTGCCCGCCGCGGGCGCAGCCCGGCGG